TCTCATTATCTATTAATCTGTTTACATTAAGGTCTGTTCAAGCCACTCTAGGAGAGTCGCCTGTGATGCTGGCCAGCAGTCAGGTTCTATCACACCATAGTAGACGTGCCGAAGGAGCCTTCATGTGCCCAAGCAGAGAAAAACATTACACCTAGAGTCGCTCAAAATATTTACCTCTATCAAGGAAGATTTCTACATAAAGCTGCACATCATTCATAACCTAATATGCCAAATTCTAATGCTTGTACACAAGGTTCACCAGACTCGTAAACAGCTACTGAAGAACAACATGCTCTGGTATCCTGGGTGTACCACTTGTTTTCCCCTAACGCAACCCATTTCCTTCTGAAGTCTTCTGTCTAATACTGCATTACAGAAGGCAATAACATTCTTACAACAGCGTAACATATTTCACAGGAAGTAGAAACCCACTAGCAAATCCAGTATCATTCTGGATTACCTCAATTTCCAAGATACACACTGAAGTATTACTGTAGTACAATACATTTATGTAACATTATTTGGGAGTCTTTTATCCTTCCAACATCCAGGCAATGTAAGCAAATACGTATTATCCCAAGTTTATAACTGGAGTGACAAATCTTAAAATGACATACCCTAGGCCAAAACATAAGCCATTAGGTAAGTCTGAAAATGTAATGCTTCCAGGTCTATGTTTAAACCCCTAAGATCCCACTGCTCTATTTCAATCATCATACAAGATTTCTTGCTACCAAAAACAGTGTTATATTTCTTTCCTGTCCATAAGTATCCAGACAGTATGTACCTTTTTCAAAAGAAGTCAAAGGTTGACCTTGCGTCCCTTGCGTAATGAAGGGTAACCTACATAACACCGTGAACTCCTGAACTCACAACATTATTTGCTAATGCTTAAAGTTACACGTAAAAACAAAAGCTTTGGACGTTATTCTGCCAAGTGCCACGTTAATATTATACTAAAGGAAAACTAAGCGCAGTCTTTGTACAAGTACACTGCCAAAAACGTCAGTGATAGTTACAGGTCAAAGGTGCTTATTTGCATTTTGTTTTAAGCATGATGTTTCCATAAAATGATTCATTCTTACAGAGCCCCTAACTGCACATATGGGTAACTCAAATCAACTAGAGCCACTTCCAAGTAACAGATGGGAGAAACAGAAGCATGAGAAGGTGACGACTGGTCCACAGTTACACAGCAGGTCATGGCACACTAAGAACACACATCTGACTTCCAGTCTAGTGACAAACGTGCCACAGCAAACCGCCTTCCAAAGGCTACAGAGTAGAAAGCCAACATTAATTGGAAATATAATTGAAAGCGGAAGGAGACAGGGTAGTGAGAAGTGCTGAACTCCGGAAGTTCTGGCTGCCATGTCACTGTGCCATCCACTGCTCCAAGACCAAAATGGCTCTTGAAATACCAAAGTCCCTACCCTCTGACAGCAGAAGGGAACACTTCGAACTTAAAAGCTAAAACCCAAAAATGCTCATGACACTAAAATAAACTAATAGTGATGAATATATGAAGCATTTAGTATTTTTTTATAGCTGTAGACAACACAGCTAGAATGCAAGGTTCTTTCTGGAGTCTTTTACAGTAAAGAGTGCAGCAGTTCTTCACATTAAGGTACTGCATACGGCAAGTCAAACATGCAATATTTCCTTCTTCAACGTGAGACGGGAACATTTCCAGCTTCTCTCTGTACAACTATCCATATGTTTGTCCTGATAAATCATAAATCATAAAGAAGTTCTGTACATTTCTTCAAGTCTTGTTTGACTCATTAGATTCTGGAACATCTGATGGATATTATGTAGGTACTGTGAGGGATTTTGTAGAACCTATCTTCTATTCATTTTTGTAAGTATATTTGAATGCTATATCATAAAATACTAATGAACAGATGAGGAAGGGGGGGGAGGAGGGCCCCCAAAACACACCTAAGCATATTGCGCAGGGAGAAAAAAGAAAATTAAGACCAAAAACCCCACAGATCCAAATCCAGGATGCTATAAAGTATTTAAAAGGGACTTTTGAGGAATGGGCCATGAAACTTGTTCTCCCACATTCATGTCCTAGATATGAATCTCCTGCTCACCCAGACAAACCACCACAAGCAAAGGAGAAAAATAAAAGAAAGTAAAAGCTTAGATTAGTCTAATAAAACAAATGGGAGACAAACTGCAGCTACAGCAGTTCACAGGGCAAAGTATTCTCCACCTCCTTTATCTCTTGAGATTTGGTGTCATTCAGGTCTAATACTGCTCTGAATGGTCTTTAACCACTGTAGACAGCTCAGGTTCTTTAAAGAACAGAAGCCTCCTCCACATTCTTGCTCAATCTGTTAAATTTAGCGCATGCTATATAGGGCCTTAGCAGCACACAATAGGAGCCAGCGAGACAAACAGATATATTACGAATAGGGCAGAAGATAATAGTTGATTCAAAACAGTTAAAACCTGTATGTGGAAGTTCACTGTCCTAGTTCTGGAAGAAGGGGAAAAAAAGGAGGTCATACCTGCTGAGAAAAATGTACGTGGCAAGCTTAGATGTTTATAGTCTAATGAACACTCGCTCCCTTTCTTTAATGGGCTCTTTCATGAGGTTCAGGCTGCTCAAGCAATAACCAGACAGATTTGCCAAAAGCTCTGCTGGCACAATCTGTACACGAGTGGCGCACACCACTCCTTCCAAGCACTCAACCCAAAAGCTGTCAACAGAAAGTTTGCACCGAGGGGAGAATTACCTCTGCTCTTGCGGATAATTATTTACTATCTGCAAACTAGTATACAGCTCAAAGTAATCTCTTGATAGGGAGACAGCACGTAACAGACTCATACCTCCTGTTGACAGCTGCCACCTTGAAGTCCCTTTAAAACAATTTCTCTTCTACTTGCAAGAACTTCCAAAATAAAGACCGTACACCTAATGAACAAGTCTGTATTTCTAATACAGAAAACACATGTATCTCTTTACTTCCTTGTTCCTGCACACCCATGCATTCAGAGCAGGAACACGCACACCTCTAAGAAATACAGATAGCTATAAGACCCTCTATACTATCTAAAAGTGTGCCACAAGAGTGCTTCTTTAAAAAACACACATTCCCTAGATACAGATTAAGACAAACTTACAGAAGATCCATTCTATGCTATAACAATTTTAGGCAAATCAAATTCCAGGTCTATGTTGCATGCTAGTAACTACGTAGGGCAGTGGTTCTCAAACTTTCTGGATCTGAAACATCTCACACTGGAGCAGAGGCACCTCTCCATAATTTCTGAGAGCTGAATGGCATGCAATTTCAAAAACTACTTTTTTTAATTACAGTGCTTACCTCTTGGCAATGGGGGTGGGCAATGGAGTGGGGAAATCCTCCAGGCAGAGGCAAGCCTGAGCCCGTGCTTATCTACTTATCTCCTCACACCTTGCTTATCTTCTCAGACCTTGCGGTACCCTTCAAAAGATGCAGCACCCCAGGGCACCTTGGTTGAAAACCAGTGCTCTACAGACTAGGGCATTCAAACAGATCCATATCAACACAGTGTTCTGCCTGAGCCTTTAGCTAGTAAGCTCTAAATAGCATGATTCCTGCCACATAAGAACGAACACAAACCATCTGTAATCTGATTTTGTTCACAATGCTCACTGTTTAGCTTCTGGATGTTTGAGAAATGCTAGCTAGCAGTTCTGTCTGTGAGTGTGTGAATAGTAAAGAAGGTATTTCATTGATAAAAAACGGCAGTGTGCTGCATGTGTGACAGAACGGCCTTAGCTTGCTTATGTGCCCTGCTGCCGGATGGACCCCAAAGTATTTTATAAATATTGCTCACAAGGTTCTGGCGGGGGTGGGAGAGGAGGCGGTGGTTCTTCAGTAGCAGCAGCTGCAGCAGCATTTGCGGCCGCAGCTTCGTTTGTCATTGATCTGGTGATCCTGCCCTTACGGCGGCCTTGGCTGTTGGCAGTCTTTCGTCCCCTAGGAGTTGCTTGCTCCCTTTCCTCAGTTTCCTCTGGGGCAACTTCTGTTTTGTCCTTCTCTTTGGTGTTCTCTCTAGAGAGAAAGCAAAAATTAAGAAGGATTCAGAGACCTTCATGAAAAATATTCTTCATGGGCAGATACTCACAAAACTAGTCTAAGAACTACAGGTCAGCTCACTTTTCAGTTCCAGCTGAAAGAGTAATCATAGAGCAATTTAACAGTGAAATGGGATCCCCTTTTTTCAAAAGTTAGAACTGCTATTTAAAAATAAAATGTGGTTATGCTCCATTGTTGACTCTTAAAAAAATCCATTATTTTTGTACTGCTGGTACAAAAATATGGAAAGTAGCAGCACCAACAGCAAGCAATGTAAATGATAAACTTCGCAAGGCAAGAAAAAAAGTCACATTAAACCTGTGGGATTTTCCATATGTCTGATTAGCTAAGAGTATAAGCAGCACAAATAGGCTTTATTTCTTTTTGAAGACAGCATTAAATTAACCTTAACCGAGGACAGTTAACAGACAATTTCACTGTTACGTTCACTGAATCTATGCAATGCTAATTTCCTAAACAAATGAGAAAAAACTAGAAATGCCTGCATTAGAGAAAGTAAGTGCATTCTCACTAGGTATACTCACTTAGATTCCTCCTTCTCATCCTTTTCCTCTTCATCTTTCTTTTCTTCCTCTCTTTTCTCTGTTTTTTCTGCTTTCTCTTCTTCTACTTTTTCTTCTACCTTTTCTTCTTGGGAAGGACGTGCAATTTGTTGCTGAAATAAAATAATATTTACATACTAGGATTCTGCAACACTTGATTGTGTAGAAGAGATGTAATTTTGTCTTAAGAGAAGTACCAGAGATACCCATGTTGATGGTAACTCCTTTCCTTCAATATGATTTTGCATTAGACACTAGAATTTACAAATAAACTTTAAAAAATTAGGTTTAGATTTCAAAGGCTTTACAACTGGGGTATATATCTATTTGCAAATTAAGAACATAAGGAAATGGTCTCGAGGAAACAAAAAGGCCACTTGGCATAAAAACAATCTGCTGTAGCTTTTAAGTTTTCAATCTCCACATTTTAATGTATCCTTCAGTCCTTCTCAACATGTAACTTTTCTCTTATGCCTGTTTGTCTCTTCAACTGTATTTCACTTATTGCATTTAACTCTGTAGATTGCAGGGACATACTGCCTCTCAGCTGAATAAGGATAGCGATGAAACATACTGTACACACAAATTATTCTTCACCTAATGCTCACTGATAAATGTGCGTTCCACATGAGCAACACAGTAGCTTTGTATTCATCAGCACTATGGTTTTCTGCATATGAAATCTGAAAATAAACAAGGTTTTAAATAATTCCTTATGTAGTAACAAAAATCAAAGTCATGTAAGAGTACATTAGTGCTTCTACCCAACAAACAGTAAATGTTATATTTTACAACTCAAGATATTTTATTAAAAACTATCCACAGATCTAATCCTCATTCTCAGGGTAGTCAGTTGGATTAAGTGAGTATAAAGAATAAATAACTACTTTAGAAATCTCTTAAGAAATGTCACATAATGTACAACTATGTTAAACACTTGAGAAGGACAGGTCTAACTCATAAGGAGGTGTAGCAGGATGACCAGCAAAGGCTTGCAACAGACTGCACACTCCAGGGTAGAGGAGTTTGCAGGCTTGTGGGGTATGACAGCCAGCTGCAGGCAATCAGGAGTGATTGCAGGCTGCCTAGAAGTGGACCAGCTGCAGAGGCTAATTAGCCGCCCCACAGAACGCTAAAAAGGTCCTGGGAAGCAGAGACGGGGGGGGGGGGGGGGGGGGGGGGGGGGGGGGGGGG